AGCTGTATACTCAGAGCCAGGTGACATTCTGGCATGTGGTAGACACTAAGTAAAAGTTTTTCATGTTTTTCTCTCCCCACCAACACCCAAGACCCTAGGTGTGCAGAAAATCTTAGAAGCACAAAGGGAATTCTGACATATTGTAGATTTCCAGGGCCAACCCCTGCAGCTTATGATTTTCTGTCAAGAGGAAATAAAAGCATAACTCAGTGGTGTCTTCACAGTTTCTGCCTGCCAGTTCTACTTTTCTATAAATACAGTCCTCATTTTCAAGGATTTTGGATAAGATCGCTGCAGTTGACTATTTTGGGGAGGCACTGCCTGTTCTATTTCAGAGGGGATGTTATCATCTGTCTTCATTCCTGGGGCAGGTGTGGAGACGCATTGTGGACAACACTGCAGATTCACATAAGAAGCTGAATGTATCAGGCTCACAGGTTCACAAGCCCTGGGCAGGGCCTCGGAGGGCAGACTGAAAGGCATGTGGGGATCGTCTCCCTGAAGACCCATTACTTTATGTTTCATCCATTGCTGTTTTCCTCCTGCCATCCTGTGATGCAGGGCTGCTGCTGAGAGCTACTCCTTGTCTTAATAGTGCTTTCACCACCACCTGGAGCTCAGTCTCTGGGTCTTAACGCTCAGGACCTTTTAAGGATGGCAGCCTTCAGCTTAGAATAGGAAAGATGTAAGAGTAGCATTCGAAGTGGAGGTCTGAGTTCAAAACATTCATGTAAACGTTGATGTCAAAATTGAGGGAAACGTTGAAATCATAACTTTCCAATGAGTTTTCTTATCGCTATACAAGAGCAAACAAGATTTCTGAGTGTCCCCTTGTATAAGGTACACTATTTACTATCAAATATTGCAATTTATTCCTTGTATAAAGGTACACCCAGAAATTTAATTACAAAGAGACACATAAGCCCCTGTAACAAGTTACAGTTAAACCACAGTATACCTAATCATGGCAAATTATAAATGTAACCCAGTCTGTAAACAATAACAAGCCAAGTAAACACTGTATTGATGCCTTTTTGTGTGTTCAAAGAAGGATATACTTTTAAATACAAATAAATAATACAATTATATGGACTTATCCTTTGTATTTAAAAAGGTAGATAATATTGTATATATGAAAGGATATGACATAGACTGAGTAAGATTTTCTCATTAACCAAAGTCTACTCAGGCTCCCCTGAACTCCTTTTTCCTTTTTTCTAAATTAATACACAATAGTTGTATATATTTCGGGGGTACATTTTGATATATATTTGTATATAAATACATACATTTTGTATATATTTAGGGGTGATATTTGGATGCATGTATACAATGTATAGTGATCAAATCAGGATAATTGGGAATATCCATCATCTCAAACAGTTATCTTTTCTTTGTTAGAACATTCCAATTCTTCTCTTCCAGCTAGTTGAAATTTATAAAAAATTCTTAACTATAGTCTAATCTATTATACTTTATTCCTTCTAACTAACTGTAGTTTTGTACTCATTAACCAACTTCTCTTCATTCTCCCTTCCCCCACCCTGAACTCTTTTTCACTGAGCCTGACTTTGGCCTTCCATGTTCTTCTTTCCATTGTCCAATTTCAGCAAGGATCCTGGTAAGTCAGTTTAACCAGAATCTCCCCATCTTCAATATCAGATCATTCTCATTATTTAATCATCAGGTTCCTCAGTCCCCACCATCTCCCAGGTGATAGCTGATCACCCTGGCCTGTCTTCAGCAAGAATCCTGTTACATTGGCTTAGCCAGAATCCCCCTTACTCTTGATGTTTCCTTTTAGTAATTTTCCACCCAGGGACCCTCACTCTGCTCCTTGGTTGTAAATTCCCACTTGCCAATGCTGTATCAGAGTTGAGTCCTGACCATTTCTCCCACTGCAAGACCCGATTGCAGTGGTCCCTATACTTCTCTCAGTGGTCTTGAATAAAGACTGCCTTATCTTCAACAAGCATCAGTGAATAACTTTTCCTTTAACAACACATACATACAAGACAAAGATATGTTAATACTAGCTAAAATTGGCTAACCAACGAACATTCCCTCAATCAACCAATTCTCATGTATATTTATTTAGATATGACTCTTATACACACATGGAAAAGTTTGCTTTTTGTATGTGTGAGATAGTGTCTCCGCTGGTCACCCAAGCTAGAGTATAGTGGCACGAGCACAGCTCACTGCAGCCTTGAACTCCTGGGTTCAAGCAATCCTCTCACCTCAGCCTCCTGAGTACCTGGGATTACAGACATGTGTCCCCATGCTAATTTTATGTTTTGTAGAGATGAGGTCTCACTATGTCGCCCAAGTTGATCTTTAACTCCTGGGCTCAAGGGATCCTCTTACCTGGGCTACCCAAAATGTTAAGATTGCAAGCGAGAGCTACTGTGTCTGGCCAACTTTTTTAAAACTAGCATATCTTTAGTTATGTCACGTGCCCATCCATCTATCATGATATAAAGGTATTCTCTAGTGTATTCTCTACTTTCTCTAATTCAGGAGCAGAACGTCTCTAAGAAAACAAAACAAAACTGCATACAAATATCGCATTCACCTGCCACGTTCATCAGTCTGGCCATAGAGATCACAAGAACTTGCTATGATCATTAATGATAAGAATGATTTAAGGTTAGCAACTCTGTCGCATGTTTTTATTCTTTCTCCCAAACGAGCTTAAAACAAAATTTTTGAAGATGTTTA